GAGAGGCATCGGTGGGGCGACAGAGGCGCATGCACGCTTGTCACTTGGCGCAGCCAAGACCACGGGGCCGACTATGGCGCTAGGCATTGTGAGGCTTTCTAGGCCGCCATGGGGCACGGCCAAGGGGTCATGGGGCGTGTTTGGAAAGCAGCCCATTCTAAATAGGAGGATTACTATGACTTTAGCCCTTGGTAAGTTTACCAGAGACGAAGCTCTCCAAAGAGCAATTCTTCTCAAAATTTAACTCAAAGGCTGCTGAGTCGGAATCCCGTTCTAACTAAGAATGAGTCGTTGCCCTTCTCCAACCTGACTGCCCAACCTGAGAGCAAACAGCTAATGCATTCCACTTATAGAACGGGGTTCTATGGTTGGTTCTTATTCGTACATCGTTATTCTATATTCTATCTATCTCCTATTTTGTAGCCAATGTTGAAGCTACTTAAAGTTACGCACCTACATACACATGTTGTAGTAGGTAGCATTGTACCCACTTTTTAGTTTTCATATGTCTCTGTCAGCAAATTAACAATGTGTCATATGAGCTCTTTTGTCTTTTTACCAAAATTTATATCTAATTCTCCTTCCCTCTCTCTTCCTCCTCTCTTTTCAATTCTCTCATATACTTTCATATTCAACTAACTAAAGCTTTTTACATGGCTAGTTGTTGCTATTCTCCATAGGTATCACCATTAAAGTTTTCACAATTCCAAACTCAAAGAATAAATATATTGAAAAACAAACTAGACCCATATTGATTAGTCTAAATCAGATTAATTGCCCCCCCCCCCCTCCTAATAACCGACTTTGCTGTTCACGTTTTTCTCTTGCTCTTCATTGGATTCTCCGGGAAAAGAAATGAAAGAAGCAATGAAAATTCAGCAAACGCTAATCTGGAAATTTTCATTTTAAGAACGTAATTTACAGTGGAAACTGAAGTTAAGAAAATGGGGGAGGCATTTAAGAAAATGTTGAAATCTGCAAAGAATTGTTGGTGGAAATTGAAGTCAAGAAAATGGATTGAAAACTGCAAAGAATTTGCAGTGACGCAAAATTGGATTTCCTCTCTGCCCGAGAGAGACGCCAGGTACGGTGGAGGAAAGAGTTGGATGAGTTAAAAGACAAAGAACCCATTTAATTCATGTGTCGCTAATTTGCGGACAGGGAAATATATGGAAACTAAAAGTTGGTACAATGCAAACCTACTATAGCCATGTAGCAGGTTAGCAAGATACAATATGTACACACACATATTGCTAACATGGTTGTAGTAAGTTAGCATTATACACATAATTTAGTTCTCCAAAATGCCCATATTATTTGCTGCCACCACATTAAATTTAGGGGCTTTTATGTCCTTCTAAACTTGAAATACTAAACCCAGCTTACTAGAACTCTTTCTCCGCAGTAGCCCCTTTACCTCTCCCTCTTCTCTTTCCATAGCAACGAAGAACAATTTGCAAAATAGCAAAGTGATTTTGCAAGGTTCAGTACATACTCAGAAGAAGACTAAAGACAAAACCACAAAATAAGAATTGTATTATTTTAATAGACTCCTTGTGCATGATTGAAGAAAAATGAATCTTGAATCTGTAACATCCAATTTTGGAACAATAAATGGTGGATTCTATTGGACAAATCAAATAGACTAATTGTTGGGTATAAACAAATCAAAAAGCAAACTGACAAAATTTTACACCATAATCTGTTTACTAAAATGAAGAGACATTAGAGTAAAAAATTACTTCCATTATATTATTGTCAAGTTGTGAGAGAAAAAGATACTGGATTGAGAAGAATGGCCTGTTGATGATGGAAAATAAAGGTGTTGCTGACTTTGTTTGCCGCCATAACGTTGTAGAGGTGGGAAATGCAAATTGCAGAGATGAAAGTTAAAATGGCGAATTTTTCTGGAACCAAAAAAAATCCCCTAAATTTAATGTGGTGGCAGCAAATAACATGGGCATTTTGGAGAACTAAATTATGTTTACAATGCCAACCTACTACAACCATGTTGTAGGTTAGCAAAACCCATATATATATATATATATACACACACACACCCTCTTCGGCCAAGCCGCTTTGTCTATTCATTGGATTGATGTCCGATAGCTTTTCCTTCTCCCCAACCGTTGTCATGTCCCGCTACTTGTGTTCATACTCCGCTGCAGAATGGGGTGTTCGAAAGAAAAGACCGACATATAGTTATAGTTGAAATCAAAGGCATTCATTAGAATTGCAATGCACATTGAGCGAGTAGTTAGTTCATGTCTTTTTGTATGAGAGATCTCGTTCCATCAGTTTTTCCGTGAAGGCTCTTTTATTTTCTGGATGGAAAGGTGAACAAGAAGGGAATAAGCTCTCAAGCCTCGGAGGAGAACAATCTCTTGTGGAAAACAGGCAATTGCCTGCAAGATAAAGCGAGTCCTGGAAAGTGGAAACCACCAGGAAAATGACAAAAGCTATCAAAATAAGCCAGACCTAAGAGAATGCTAAGGGACATCAGTGAGAAAATAGCATTATCATGAACAGAAATTCTGCACAGTACTTCGATGACTGAAAGTTGTTTTGCCTTCTCTTCCTGCACGGCTGCAGCAACTTTCATTTAAGCTGTTTGGTTTGGATGGAGAGAGGGAAGCAATATGAAATCAGGAAAACTATTTTCTACTAAGGCAGACTTAATTATTTCAACCAGGATAGTGATGAGAGAGAAAATTGTCTTCCATTAGCTTTGCTCTGCACCTAGAGGTCCTAGACAAAAGGAAGGGAACTCTCTTCTTTCAGTTTTCTTTATCTTTCTTTGGTTCATTTTCCATTCCTTTCACTTTGTTTTATCCAGTTCCAAAGACATCTGAATAGAGGTCAATGTGAATTGATACCGGGAAACATATCCACTTTCTTATCTAACAGATCAATATAGAGGAGTTGATTCAGCTTCATCCAGGAATTTTTTTCTTTTTTGTGATAAAGATATCTAGGAAATTATTACCAACTGAAACTGAAAACATGAAACTTTGCTACAGCAAGGTGCTACAATAAGGGAAAGATCAACCTAGAATGCTTTGCATCAGTGGCGGACCCAGAATTTTATGCACGCGAGTTCAATAAAAAATAATTATAACCAACAATAAGGTCTGTACGGACAAGTAAAATTTGCCCGACCTTTTTTTTTTGAGTCATAATGCTACCAAAAAACGAACATCCAAAAAGTTGAGATCGACATTCTTTTTTCCTTTTTTTTCTTTCCAAAAATAGTTGAGAAAGATATTTAAAATGTTTAACAAAGACAAATTACTTTAGCTGCAAATGTTAACAATTCATCTACTTAATTTAGCAATTATACCTAAACGAATTTTACAGCTTGTAAAACTTTAACAAAAAAAAAATTCAACCAATTTGGAAATTTATTAGATTTTTTTCTTATAAAGAACAAAATTGTTAATTTACAAACAAAAAATAAAGAGTTATAACTTAAATTAAACTAATATAAAATAAGAGAGTTGATAAAGTAAACTAACTTGTTCAACGTAACATAAATAATTAATTTAGCATAAAATAATTTAAGATGAACTAGGAATTATAAATATTCAATGTCTACACTTGCATGTTTTAGCAAAATAATGTTAGATTTCACGCATTGATGACTGAACACACATGTGCATTTGTGCACATACGGTGACAAAGCACAAAAGATATGCAAGAACAAAAACTGCAAAAGGAAAAAACAGCAAACAGTTGCTGTTACAAAGTTTCGAACCCTTAACCTGCATCAAACATTGAACCTGCGCAACCATCTGTCCACGAGATCATGTTTGCTCAAGAGGATTCAATATAACATTATTATATCAAATTTACAGAATTTAACCTATATATAATACCAAAAAATTTCGACGAAGCAGGTTCATTTGAACCCTCTTGACCCTATTGCGGGTCCGCCCCTGATTTGCAAACAGCTTTAACAAAAAGATTGATAGATGCTTAAACATAATAACATGGACACAAAAGAATCACCTTCAGCTCATTATATGCAGCGTAATACTGGGGAAATTTCCCCCCTGGCCCTCCCAAAGCCTCTTGCCATGAATCTATCAAAATCAAAATCTTCTCCCTCACATTTAAATCAGGCTGCAGAGTTTACATCAACAACAATAATCGTGAAGTTATTACAGATCTCAAAGAGGTGAAACAAGTTGAGGAAACCATGTATATCAGGAAGTTGTTTACCTTCTTCTTCACAATTTTGACCATGTCCTTTAAAATGTCCCGCTCCACAATTTGCTGAAACACATTCTCTCCACAATTTTTGCTCAAGGTCTCAAGAACCTGAATAAAAAGTTCGGAGAATAAAATAGATAGTAAATGATCTTCAGTTCAAGTTTCTTTTTATGAATTTTTTTGCAACTTCAAATGGCAAATCCCATGATGAGAATGAACAACTGTACTCCCAGAATATCCACTGAATTTTTTACTGATAAATTAACTTTGTCTCGAGACATAAGCAGTCAAACATGACACATTGATAAGTGAATTTCTATTGGCAATTGTTATCGACCTATATGAAAAATGCCAACACTACAGATGTACTGAAAACACATAAGAGATATTTCAGCATAGTACACTAGCAGGTTAAAGTTTGACAACTATATTCACCTCTTGTCAGTTATACCAGTTTCACAGACGATATGTCAGAAATGAGGAGATGAGACCAGTAACATGTCAAATTTGTATGTTAAACTAAGGATAAGTGGATCTTATAAGATATGGGAAGTTCAAATTTTAGACTTGTACTTTTAAACATGATAAGAAATGGAGCTTGGGCCTAATTCAACCTCAAAAGCTAGCTCAAATATGGATCTTGGTACTTTTAATCATGAGGTAAAATTGCCCAAGACCATATAAGGAGACAAACTCAACAATTCATATATGAGAAAAGCAAGAGAATAATTTTCTGGATAAAATTTCAGCAAATTAGAATTTTGAGGGAAGATATTTCAGCAAATAAACTCTATGGAACCCTAGACAAAAAGAAATCTAGTAAAATTAAGTTCAAGTGAGATGTACTTACAAATAGGGTAAGGAGCTGTATTTTCGGATTTTTACTCCCTAAACGTTTCTTGATAATCTTAAGAGCATCCTTTGCTTGTCTGCAATTAGAGTTTAATCAGTAAGCCTTCTCAAAAAAATTAAGAGTTTAATGAGTAAGGCAGTAAGCTGGTACAAGATCAACTACAGAAAAGCTCAACCTGGCAAAAAAGACTAGGGCAATTTGAAATTTTACAAGAAAACAAACAAGTTCAGAAGATCATAAAACAATGTAGAAATACCATTTAGGCAAAAGAAAAATCAGCAGAAATGCATCTTAAACCTTTATCAGCCAGAAAGCCTGCCTCCAATTTTTTCTTTGATAAGGTAAATAAACTGCATTAATGTTTGCACAAACAAAAGGCCCATATACAAGAAGTATACACAGTTTACCTACTTCACTGCTATCATACCCTGGGATTTCTTCTAGAGACTAAAGTAGGATGCAAAGCTGGATCACATTTCAGGCTATTTTGAAAGTGTGGTCACTCATGAGTCATGACAGCCAGTCCTTGAAACGACCTACCCAAAATGTGTGGTGAACGTAACATAAGACTAATTCTTCCATGACATCACATTGTGGGACTAAGTTTGACGGAAAATCCTTCTTACACAGTGTTTTCTTTTTTGGATAAGATATAGAAGATCCAAAACACATTTGCCTTCGATAGCAGATGTCTAGTCAAAATCCTTCTTTTTTTTTATGCAAGAGCTCAATACTAACTACATTTATAAAAATAAAAATAAAAGGACAGAAGTACAGCACCTATTGTACATCAAATCTCAAACTAATTAAAAAAATTTGCTCAAGCACCAGAACATTAAGATTGAGTAGGATTTCTGTCATCCCCACTATGTGGGCTCCCAAGGTTATAAAACTCCAAATGGCCTAACCCAAACACTAATTTGGACTTGGTCAAGCAAGAAGGCTTAGACTATTTATATCCAATTACCCCAGCTACTAAATATTAAGAATTGCACCAGTCAAAAGATAAGAATACAACAAAAGGTAGCTAGGCTCATATCAGTACCGAAAAGTAGGCAGGGCTGACATATACTATGTTACCTAATAAGGAGATCACAGCCACTAGTGCACAAGACAAAATTTTCTTAAACATAGGAAAACAGAAAATAGATGAACCATTTCGAGAAAAGTTTTTACATCGGAAGGCCAGAATGTTTCAACAGAAAAATGTGATTTACTAATAGTGGAACGTTTTCTAGGAGTGGAAAACTCCATTGCACAAATTAGCGGAAAATGTCGTTTTTTGTGTATTCTCGGAACACTTTTGATGTAGCAGTCACTAATTTTGATTGGATACTCTTGAGAGAATCACGTCTTTATGCAAGGTTCTTTTTTGTTTTGGATAATTATGATGTCCGGCCTAGCTTGCGCGCACCTGCTACCTCCCACCAGCAACAAATACCATGTAAGGTTCTCAAATTTGGTATACATCTTCTAGGAGAAATTCTTACAATCACATAAATAAATTGTTAAATTGGAACCGTGATGGTCTTTTCAAACCACAAAGAGGATTAAGACAAGGAGGCCCTATCCATCCTTACCTCTTTGTCATGGTCATGGAAGTGTTAAGCTGAATGCTTAACAAGGCTGGAGCTTGAAATTGTCAAATGAAATTTTTACTCGTTAGAAAAAAGCTACTGATGGCTCAAGGACTTCCACATAGATTGACAGAATGACATATTCTATATGCAGATGACACTTTATTACTTTGTGATGCTGAAAGAGACAAAATGCAAAGCATGGTGCATACTGTGCAGTCAAGTTTCAAGACAGATAATCACTTAAACAAATATGGTCAAGATAAAATACCCAGGATTCATGTTGATAATATCACAAAGCTCAATGTTTATAGCCCAGTCTGGACCAATCAGCATATCACTTGTTGCCCTTTCTGCACAAGCTGCTGCATTATTAGCCATCTTTTTCTACTTTCCACCCTTTCTTCAAATTGTTCCACCTTTGATCTCCCTGGAAAAAGAAAAAAAAAATTGTTAAAAAACTGATAAATTCAAAGGTAAGAACATAAACACACCCTTTAAACACACAAAAACAGTAAATAAATCAAAGTAGAACCTCACCAAGAATCAAACTTTAACTAACCTGCAATTCAACAAATGATACCAAAGTTCACCAAAAATCAAAGAGGAAATAGATCATCAGAATTCCCAATTTCCTACCTAACAAATCTCTAGTTTCTAGAATGCACAACAAAAACATCCAATACAAATAAAAGCTTGAAGGTCCAAAAAAGAGAAGAACAAAATTGAAGCAAACCCAACTAGGAGTAATTTCAAGATCATGACTTTATACAATAAATATGAAGAAAACAGTCTCAAAGAAAGATCAAAGTAAAAGGTATCAAAATTTTATAGACAAATAAGATATGAAGCAGTCAAGATCTTGGTATAATTTACCTCTGAGAAAAATCAAATAAAAACCCACAATCTAGTCTAGTGAGAGAAAGTATATGTGTCTGCAAAGTAAACGTGTATAATACGTAGAGAGAGAGAGAGGGAGGGTGGTTTAATTAGTAGGGAGGGTTTTCGGATAAATTTAGATAGGCTAATGTAACTTGTAAGCGCGTAGTCTTAGGATTGACCACTTCCAAAAAATAAGAAACTCCACAACAAACAATTATATTGAATTGAATTGAATTGAAGGACGAAAACATTACGATGGAGCGATAAATATTTTTTTTATTTTTAACTAAAATTCTGAGTTTTTTATTGTCTGTTTTGCCAAGCTTTTTCAAAAGTCAAATTCTTTTTTTTTAAATATTTTTTTAAGTTAAAATATTTTGCCAAGCTTTTAAAAGTAAAAAAAGGTCAGAAGCAATTTTAGAAAAGAAAAAAAAATATTTTCTCCATAAAAGTGTTGTTTTGACAAGTATTTTGAGGAGAATACTCTTAAAAGTACTTTTTAAAAATTTGGTCAAACATAAATTGTTGCTCAAAAATATTTTTCAAATTAATTAGTCAAACACAAACTTATCGAAATAAATTAATTTTTGAAACTTAGACCAAACAGGCTATTAGCCTAGAAATAATAGTATCACTTGTGATAAGGAGCATTTTATTTTTAAAGTGGGACTGTGGATACCGAGTACATGAAAAATTATACTCTCTCCGTTCACTTTTACTTGACACGTTTTGACTTTTCATGACACTTAAGAAATAATAAATGAAATGTATAATTTACCATGATACACATATTAATTGATGCATATTTTATTGGATTTGAAAAAATGATTTGAAATGATTAATAAATACTGTGGTTATAACAGGAAAAAAAATTATCTTCTCTTGATATGCGTAAAGTGACAAATAAAAATATATACATGACAAGTAAAAGTGAACGGAGGAAGTACAAATGAAAATAAATATAGAAGTTCTTAAATTCTTTGGAAAAGAATTGTCAATTAAGGTAGCTTCACGACTATTCTTTTGTAGAACTCCAACTCTAGAAGTCAATGACAATTGTAATGGAAGAGTATTCAATATATATGCCCTCAATTCCTTTTTGAAGTTTCGCCCGAAGATAAAAGGCACTCTAACATGAACAATGAACCCTTGCAATGGTGTAGTGAACCAAATTTAATTAGGTTGAAGTTAATCTGGTAGTTAATGGACACTCTTTCTTGATTATGTTTTAATCATTGATAGTGAAAGTTGAAAATGGTCGACTTGGAAGCACGGGCGAAAGCAGGATTTTTGCTCTTGTTATTGATGATTGTTACCTATTATATTGTATCGTATTATTACTTTAAATGCGATATTTTGTTTTGGTTGTTACTTAAATTTTATTGTATCTTATTGTTAAATTCGTTGTAACGACGAAATATATCATTTTATGTAATGGCCGATTTGGTGTGGTGGCACCGTTATCTTGTCTTTTTCTCTCTTCTCACCCTTTATTATTATTAAATAATTTTATTTTATTGTTTTTTCTATCTTTTTTATATAATAAATTTATCCCCTATCGTAATTTTGCTTTATAATATTGCAAGTTTATCCTTCATTTTGCTGGTGCGTGATATGATGAAACAACAGCAAACGATACAATCTTATTCAAACATTGTATTAATCAAACGATACAGTACAATACAATACGATACAATATAAAACAATGTGTAACAACATTCAAACAAGGTGTAAGGGGTTCAAAAAAAAATGTTAAAAACCTAAACAAGATTGTGGCCAATGGGAACTAAACCAATAACCTTACTGTCACGACCCAAAATCCATTAAAGGTCGTGATGGCGCTGGACACCACTGTCACGCAAGCTAACACCAAATAGTTAATTAATTTCTCATTTTAATATTTCTGAAACTATAAATTTCCTTCAATTTAACTAGTAAAAGAAGAGCTTTACAGAATAATAATAATAACGTTTTTCAATTTCAATATTAGATATCCCATAATCACCCCAGATCCCGGTGTCACAAGTGCATGAGCATTTACTATGAAATAAGATTAAATACAATAACTGTCTGGAATACAAATTTGGACAGAAAGAAAATACAGGTACTCTGAAGGAGACTCTGCTGGTTGGCGGATCGTCTCATAAGATGCAACTCACCAAATTCCCCGTGTCGACCATGCCGTTGCACCCACAAGGCCAGTAGACATACATGTGTCTATACAACAAAATGTGCAGCAAGTGTAGTATGAGTACGAAAACAACGCGTACCCAATAAGTATCCAGTCTAATCTCGAAGAAGTAGTGACGAGAGGTCGACTCCGACACTTACTATGGCCAAGAATAATATACCGATAATATGATTAATCATGGATTTTTATAAAGCGACTGTAAACTCAATAACATGAAACAAGTAAACAATTCTTTTGTTAATAGGAGATTTCCAACTTTATTTTTTATCATTTATCAACTTATCACGGGCCAATGAGGCAATATCATTTACTATCAATGTCAAATCAATCAATTCAATCATGCGCAAGTCATATCGAGGTCGTACGGCTCGATCCAATATAATATTAAATTGTGCACTGTCGGAGGGTCGAATGGCGCGAACATAGATGTATCTATTTAATCTACCGAGGCATTCAGCCCGTTCCACAAAAGAAAAATGCAATCAAAGGAGCATTTATCCAAGGAAATGTCAATCCTATTTTAACGATCAAGAAAATGAAGTTTAACTTTTTAGAAATTCATTTACCAATTCGATATGATTTAAGCAATTTAAATTGACAATAAGGTTACAAATATTGCAAGTATAGCATGTTTCGGATCCTAGACTACCCGGACTTAAGCATAATAGTAGCTACGTACGGACTCTTGTCACATCGTGCGTACGTAGCCCCCTATAAATAGAAGTACATATTGGATTATTTCACCTATGGGATAAATTCCCTCTTACAGGGTTAGAAAGGAGACTTACCTCGCTTCGAAGTTCTATATTCGGCTCTCAAGCCCTTCCGATAACTCAGACCGATGCCCAATGCTTCAAGACTAGTCAATAATTGTGCAACCCATACATATATACTCAAATACTCATAATGATCCAATTTATAACAATTTCTAACCCCAATCGAAAAATTGATAAAAATCGCCCTCGGGTCCACAGGCTTGGATTCCGAAATTTTTTGAAAATAAACTTACCCATAACACTACGAAGTACGAACTCGAATATATAACTTATTCCAAATTCCATGTCCAATCTCGTGGTCAAAATGCAAGAATATAAATTTCTAGGTTTGCTACCAAAAATCCCACAATTTCTACCAATTTTCATGTTTAAATCCTTAAAAATCCGTGTATATAACTTAAAATGAGGTGGGAATTACTTACCTTGACTTGAATGATGAAAATTCCTACTTGGAGCTCTCCAAAAATCGTCCAACCAAGAGAGAATGAGAGAAAATGGGCCAAATGCCGATTTTTAAAAGAACCCTTATGCCCAGACGACTTTCGCATTTGCGATCCACTAGCCGCTTCTGTGGCTCCGTACCTGCGGACATTCCCATCGCATGTGCGACTTTCCATCAAGACCAGCCAAGTCCACTTCTACAGACAAAAACCCGCTCCTGCGGTCATGCTTCTGCGGAGCCTTGACCACTCCTGCGGTCCAACACCAAAGGTCTAACCCTGCTTCTGCGATACCCTCTCCGCTTATACGTATGCGCATCAGCGCCCCCAGCTCCGCATCTGCGGCCCTTTGTGCAGGTGGTCCTGGACCACTTCTGCGACCATAACTCCGCACCTGCAGGCTCGCACCTACGGCCCTTTTTCACGCAGGTGCGATTGCACCAGACACTAGCTGTTTCAGCTCTTTCTCAAATTCCAAGTTTGATCCGTTAACTACCCAGAATCCACCCGAGGCCCCCGGGACCCCGTCCAATCACACCTACCAGTTCCAAAATATAATGCGGACCTTCTTGAGGCATCAATCACATTAAACAACGCCGAAGTCATGAATCATACACCAAATTCAAGCTTTATGAAGTTTAGAACATCAACTTCTACATTCGATGTCGAAACCTATCAAATCACATCGGATTGACCTCAAATTTTGCACACAATTTGCATTCAACATTACAGTCCTACTCCAACTTCCGGAATCGGAATCCGACCTTGATATCAAAAAGTCCACTTTCGGTCAAACTTCTCAAAAACCTTCAAATTTCTAACTTTAGCCAAATGACTTACGGACCTCCGAATCCTCTTCTAGGCGCACTCCCAATACCATAATCATCATACGGAGCTATTCCCAGACTCGGAATCTCAAATGGACATTGATTACTTTGAAATGCACTTCAACCTAAACTTATGAAATTCTTCTAAAATACTAACTTCTACAATAGGCGTCGAAACGCTCCCGGATCATCCAAATCCCAATCCGGACATACGCCCAAGTCCACAATCATCATAAAAACCTGTTAAAACCTTCAATCCTGATTCCAAGGTCGTTTACTCAAAAGTCACAACTTAACCAATTCTTCAAATTAAAACTTCCGAAATGAGAATTCTCTTTCCAAATCTACTCTGAACTTCCCCAATTTCAATTCTGACCACGCGTACAAGTCACAATACCTGAAATGAAGCTACTCACGGCCTCAAACCGCTGAACGACATGCTAAAGCTCAAAACAACCGGTCGGGTCGTTACATTCTCTCCCACCTAAACATATGTTCGTCCTCGAACGTGCTAAGAACTGCTCTGGAGTTGTCTGAAATTACTGTTTAACACCTCGTGCACCTTCCCGTACCACCACAACTCAGTTGAGCACACTAGCTTGAGCCAATCTAAAGACTCTCCCCTTTTCTTAGTCAAATAAGCCTTAGAACCTAAAGCAAGGCTCGTAAATCGAAGAATGACATTGTCGCTCTGCCTGCA